AGGCCGCATGCACAGGCCCTCAACTTTGTTACTCTATCCTTTATTTCCCCACCGCAAAAAAACAAAAAAAACAGAAGGCAATCGTGGCGGCGCGCTTCCTACGCAAATCTTCGCGGCACCGCCACGTCACGTCACGTGATCATCATGCACGAAGCAGTTGCGCGGATTGTCTAAGCGCTGCACCACTTTCACTTAGAATCATTTAACTCAGCTGTCCGATGATAGAGGGAAAATGACAAATATAACGAACGGGAAAATCTAGAGAGTATGTTAGAACTCTGGAATAAATTGAGAAATAAAAACGTGTTTCGCAAAGTGATTATTTTGCTGTCATCGCAACTCGAATAGGCACACTCTTTCTCCGTATAGTGAATATTAAACTCGCATTTTTGAGAGAAATTTCCACCTGCCTTGTAGCGCATTTATGCGAACCTATTTAAGTTCACTTGTTATTGTTTAATGGACTGCGTTATCTTTATTCCATACAGAAACGCTCCCCTTAAAGACATCGCTTTATTTCATTGGAATGTTCTGGCAAATTTCGCCCGTTGTGCATAGTCATCGATCCAGACTATCCGAACCTCAAACTTTTCATTGCATAAAAACTTAGTAGGAATTGTGAAATTCGTCCGATATAGCACTCGCTGCAGAATGTACAATGACCACTTCGTTCGAAGCAACCTGAAAAGGCGAAGATCGCTGTGCAGGCTACCCAAACATGTGCGCACGAACGGGCAGGGCGGGGCCGGGTGGCAAGGGAAGGGGCGCGCTTTACCCTTAATCATCTAAAGGGGGTGAGAACTCTGCCCCATATAGCTTCTCACTCGGGCCTTTCAAGTCATATTCTACTGCGCAGGGTTGTGGCTGTGCATGTATTTTTTATTCTTTTTTTGCAATAATGGCGCTCAAGCAACCCTGGTGTTGAACTTGTAGACGTCTTGTCTGTTCTCATGTCAGAGAACGTGGAGCAGCGCAAAGTAGCCCGAGTGACAAGAGTGAAATGCAGTGACATTGCAGTTACCTCAGTATATGGAAATCGTGAAATAAAGCCTCAGCGGATGGGCACGCTTTGGGTGGCGAAGCCCACATGAGAAATAAACCTTTGAGTGTGTATGTGGGGGGGGGGGGGGGGGTATAGTAAAAGGCTCATTTGGATAATATCGTTCCATACGATATCCTGGTGAAAATGTTTTCAATATTGAAAAGCGAACTGAACAAACGGCGATAGGCGGGCTGGACATGACTCAAAGAACTAACAGCGCCAACACGAGACGCAAAAAAAACAAGGAAGAAACTATGAAGCGAAACTGCGCAATGTTTTAGTGAATTCGGATGGTACGTTTTCCCTGACAGCACAGTTTTCCTCACGTTTTTTTCTCAAAAACGAAAAAAAAAAGTATCAACGAGTAGATTGTATACATATAGGTGTATGTGCACGTGCTAGTGACCTTGTCAAATTTGCACGCCCCCGATAACAACGTTAGCTCGCCCTTCTGGCCTGACGAAATTCGCTCCACGTGACTGGTCGACGCCCAAAGACGGAATGGTCCAGAGCAGGGCCTCACGCTACAGCCCTCACGTCGACAATCGACAAACACCGCAGAGGCATGGTGATGGTCGGTCGGCTTTTCTTTCGGCACGACGGCTTCTTCTTCCTCGACTTCTTTGTGGCGGCGAGAAGGCGGCTGACCCGCTTGCAGTCACTTGTCTCCCTCCCGCTACGATGGCTGCGCACGACGCAGTGAATGACGCCAGCAGAAGCACTCGAGGGTCCCGACCCGAGGGCCCTCGCCGATAGGCTGCGTGCCAAAGGCCGGAAAACCAACAAACAGGCCTAGCGGCCGCGTGTTTAATACACGCATGCGCACGACAGCGACGAAAGAACAGCAAACAACTGCTTCCCTAGGAACGCTACGGGATTCGAGAGTGCGGAGAACGCCAGGTTTTGCGGTCGTTCCTTGCGGTCGCTGCTGGCGAGATGCGATAAGGAACTCGTATAACTTAACGAGCAAACGCATCGCTGGTGAGGTATGGCGGACGTTTCTTCAGTGTCCTGGTATGGTGACCTCCACGGCTGTTCGCCGGACGATCAGTAATGCATTTCCGCTTCGCCGTTCAGGCTACAACACCACGAGAAGTGAATCGAAGTGGTCACGATGAATATTTGCGGCGGGAGCCGTGTGGCCAACCCCTCATCCACGCTACATGCGGCCAGTATAGCCAAAAGCAATTTCTCATTAAACTCCCGGATGAAGAAAACCACCTATCAATGAAAATTTCGTCCACCAGGCTGCCTTAATCGGCGAACACTCCAAAAAGCGAGCGGCGTCTCAGCCCAAGGCGCGAGTTCTTGCGCAAACAATGACACTTGCCGAAACATTAGAGAATGATGACTGGTAGGGTTCAATCAGAGCGGGCTAGTTCAGCCAGCTTAGGAGAACAGCACAAAGACGGCAGTACGAAAACTGACCGAACGCTTTGACGTCTTGACCACGCATACAGTAACTTTTTCTTCCTCCATGTTTAAACTAGATCTCCCCGAAGGCGTTATTGCGAGAGAGAAGAAGATGGTCGTGTCATTGTCAGAAGGGAGAAAGAAGCGCGGCCACCGGAGGCGCTTTGTGCCGGAGATCTACGATACTCATCAATCCACCATACTACTTACACCTGTCATCATCTTAACCTCTCCCGAGTTGTAAGACGAGACAACGCAGTACCAGCGGAGCGCTGGCGTTTGTCGTGCAAAAAGCGAAACTGAAAGTGCCCGAGCACACACTGCACTCGAGGGGGTGCCTGGGAAAAACGTGCGTGACACCGCATTCGCACGACAAGGCGAGGCACACACACGCAACTGTCAGGTCTTGTGTTCTTCCTCCTGCTGCGCTTTCGAAGACGCACCGACCTGCTTCCCGCCGAAGGTCCCCGGGGCCAGGCTCTTTTTTCTGTCCCCTCTCAGGATGCACACTTTCCTCGCGGCTCGTCCGACACGAGACAGACCCGACGTGCCGCACTCGTCGCAGCCGACGATTACGCGCGCCAGTCACGGGTTGAGGTTGGCAGCTCTTGTACAAATACATGCTGTGCAGATGGCCGGCGACATAGGAAACAGTAACTGCCATCACGCTAACTGCATAAGTAGCTTGGTGAATTTACATCTGGGTATCTAGCGGTGAAGTTAGAGCATGTGCTCCTGTTAAGGACGGTGTATATAGTGACAATAATGCTGGGCAGGCAGGTGTTTATAGTAGGACGAACTAGAGAGAGGTGGGTAACATGATGTACTTGTGATGGGTAACATGGAAAGGATGGTGGACTATGGCTAGAGTAGTAGCAAAATATTGGGTAGTGTTAGGAGACTGCGCCTACTATCGTGTAAATGATGGAAAGCAGCGAGGGAATGGTGGGTGAGGAAAACGATATACTACGCTGCACCGTTCAGGGGAAGTTCCACAGAACATCGTCATTATGCTAGGAAGCAGTAAAAACTGTGTCTGCACTATTGGTAATCGCTTTGAAAAAAAAAAAAAAAAGACCGGACGCTTGTGGGAAAAGAAAGCGAATAATAGCCGGCTCGTACTGCCTCCTATGCATGCGAAGATGAGAAACGGTACAAAATTTAAAGGCGTTTCAATGGGGTGCGCCTGCATACGGTTGTCGCTTCTTTCGTTTCCCGCTCCTCACATTTAGTAGTCATTGCTTAAGTGCAACAGCGCGTTTTCGTGTGCAAATCGAAACGACGGCACTTTTTTGTTCTTGTAAGTTTACGAAATCCAAATAATAATATTGATAATAAAAGGGCATGCAAGCTCTGAGACTCAAATCATCCGGATTGAAACCCTCGTCAAACGTGTACGCCTTCAATTTTTTCGTGTTATTATTTTGTAGCCCAGAGCAAGCATTCTTATACAGTTATACAAACACATGAAATGCAAGCCGGTGAAGTTATACAAACGCACGAAGAGAATTAGCATACCTAGCAGTCTTCTCTGACATTCGAGCTTTCAGAACAATCCAGGAGCATGTTATGCGAAAGTGAGCTTATGAACACGCAGCAAGACTACAACAGGGGCTTAAGATTGCCGCTGCTCTCACCCTATACAAAAACGTGTTTACGAACACCCGCTGTGCATTCAGGGCGCGCGCGATGATGCATATTCTCTTTCTTCCCTGCGCACATGCGAGGGCGCGTGTGCAGCGGTGGCGGCGTCACAACTTCGCGGACTTTGGCGGGAACAATGCCCCGACGATCTTTTTTTACTGTGTGCACGCACTGCAGCGAGAGTTGCAGAAACCACCGTCGCACGCCGGTTCCTCGCTAAACAACACATTTCTCAAGAACATTTTTCTTACCCTTTCCTCCACCCATTGTTTATACTTGTTTTTTTTTTTCTTGCGACACTCACAAATATACTACTGATGGATAAGGTTTTCGCCCAGTGAAAACTAGCGGCCACTACGGTAGCGAGAGACCCCAGCCAACATCTAATGTTTGAGCCCCGGGCGCTCATTTTGACGCTGGCCCACCACGACAGTTAGAATTGTACAGTTGTCAGGTCGGGTATTTCGTTTCTACTCTGTACCACTCAGTCTCGCTGCTACAAAAACACGCCGTTCTTTTCTTCGCATTGAACAATCGCGAATTTCTGCTATTGAATGTTCGCACGTGGTCAAGAATTTGCAATGTGAAATGATGAAAGAGAGGTGTGCATCATCACGGTTTCTAAAGAAACGTATCGTCGCTCGGCCAGAGTCTGCCGCTTTGCTTTGTCCAGCGGATTGTCCATTGTGTTCACAGACTGCCGACCTCTGACAGCTCGGCGAGTTGAGGGCGACGCCGCGTGCTCACATCAGTCGCACGGCGATTATGTGTTTCGCCGTGCTCGGGCAGCTGTCGTTGTGTGCACACCCAGTGCGTGCACGAACCAGACCAATCTCGAATGCCGGCCGGCACTCCACCTCAAGAGAGGAGGTTGCAAGGGAGAGAGAGAGAAACAGCTCACCGGAACTTGTCCAGGTCGCCGCTGGTGAGCGTGAGCTGGCTCACGCTGACGGGCATCGCGGCGACGCCGAAAGAGCCACGCCGCTTGGCGGTGCGTTGCGCTGTGTTTGCAACAGGCCCGGGACACGCGGCCCGTTTTTTAAAGCGCCCCTCGCCCACCGAGAAGACCACCGCCCTCGCCCGCCCGCGTTGGTGGCTCCGCGGGGCGGCCGCGCGCCAACCCGCAAGGCACCGCCGTGCAGTTCAAGTGAGCTTCAGTGCAGTGCAGTAAGGGCCCACCGGCCTCTGCAGCTGTAACTTAGAAGGGTGGCAGCTTGGGCTAGTTGGTATGGCATGACGATAGTTATAGCGCGAGAACAAAACGACGACACAGAGACAGTCGTGTCCTTCTTGTCTCTGTGTCGTCGTTTTGTTCTCGCGCTATAACCATCGTCAGGCTCTGCAGCTGACCAGCAGGCGCGCATTTAAAAGACATGGCGTGGTTTCGTTGTTGTGACGGCCACAGAGCAACTATAGTTAAACTGTAGACGCCGACAAGGCTCGCAAGCTGAGTAGTACAAGTGTTAGTAGTGGTCCATCGAGTACTCCATCGAAACATGAGATTATGCATTCTTCTTGATATCGCAACTTTCCTTTTTTCTGACAGCTCAACAAGGCCATATACTTGCACGTCAAAGTGTACTCTTAAAGAGGTAATATCGATTACTGACGCTATCTCCCTCATTCTCGCTCACTCTAGAGCCCTGCATTAAGGCTCCTCGCATGGCCCCAGTCGCTTCAGGACGTGCAATCCCTTTAAACACTATCTATCTATCTATCTATCTATCTATCTATCTATCTATCTATCTATCTATCTATCTATCTATCTATCTATCTATCTATCTATCTATCTATCTATCTATCTATCTATCTATCTATCTATCTATCTATCTATCTATCTATCTATCTATCTATCTATCTATCTATCCGTCTATCTATCTGTCTGTCTATCTATCTATCTATCTCCCAACACACCTGTACACGTGTTATCTGCGTATATACGCCGAACAGCAAAAGTTTGCAGGGCACACAATTTAAGAAAAACATATAATCTCGCCTTGTCTGTGAACATAGCTTTCATTGAAATGTTGCAGCCTGTGGCGTTTATCATCACCTATACAGGTACCAGCGCGCGTAGGTGGTAACCACGCAGGACTACCGAATCATGACGCACATAACAGTCGAAACGGTGCGTCAGCCGCGACCACGTCTCTGTAGAGCGCGCGAGAAGCCAGTTTTCGCTCTCCGGGTCGAAACCTTGAAGGAGTTCGGGCTCTGAAGTGGTGTAACAGGAGGATGCGAGGCCTAGTTGTCAGGCTGTGCATGTCACAGCCCCGATACTGCCTCAAGATTTCACGCTGCGGAGTGAGAACAGGCTCTTCGCGTGCTCTACACAGGCGTGGCCGCGACTAAGTACCTCAGGCAACATGCTGGGAACCCTTCTCACTACTTGGCAAGCCTCGCTACTGAGAGGCCACGCACGAAATTTAGTGCAATTGCCTGTGCGCATCGTGCATCGTTTACGTCAGGTTTTACGCCTGCGGAGAAATCAGTGTATCTTCCGTGGTGTCTGGCCCTTCCACAAGTACGTCTTACGGTTCCAGGAATGCAGAAGAAATCAAATTTGCCTTCATCAGCCCTAAAACAATTAAGCCTGCACCTCTTGCACGAAATGTACAATAACCACGTGCACATATATACCGATGTTTCAACCCCAGAGTCTAGTTCTGGTGGTGCGGTGGTGATATACTAGCTAGAGGAATCACCCTGCGAATCAAGCTGTCACATGTCACTACGTCTACGGCGGCAGAACTTGCGGTTCTGCGAGGCGCCCTAGAGTACATAACATCCCAGAGACCGAGTAAATGGGATGTCTTTTCCGACTCGAAACCGGCCTTACAGAGCGCACAGTCAGTCCTTTGACGAGGTATCCATTGATACGCTATGCTGTTTCTCGATTGCTTGGTGATGAAGAAGCCTTATTTCAGCTACTGACTGTTCATTAGGTCCATGACGAAAGGATGACATAGACATTGAAGAGCTGCCTTCGAGTCCGAGAAGATAGACCAAGTTCCCGAAGGTTCTTCAACTATAAACTCCAGAAAGCTTTGCTGCGCTTTTTGCGGACAACTGGCCACAGAGACAGTATACTATTTGATGTTGCGTTTCCTCTGTCGCTATTTTTTTTTGTAATTTCTCTCGCTCTTCGCAACATTTCTTTTTATTATCTTTTATACCCCTCACCCCCTTTTCCAGCACAGGGTAGCCAGCTGGTCTAAGATCTGGCTAACCTCCCTGTCCTTCCGCTTAATCTTTCCTCCTCCTCCTCCTTTGACGAGGTTGCTACGAACACTTGATGTACGAGGTAGTCAAGCTTTTTCCCCACGTAACAGAAAGAGGCCATAAAGTCAATTTCAGTGGCTATCTGGACATTTTGGGATCAGTGGCAATGATTCCGCAGACAACGCGGCTGACACATCCTACCAAAAAGAGCACACCCTTCCCATTCCTTTATCAAGTAGAGGCTCTGCAAAGCAACTTCATCACCTGGCACGTAGGCCTGTGTCTGCTGAAGTGAAACACCATAAGCATAAGGCATATCGAGACTCCACCAAATAAACCCTCGACTGGAACTTCGACCTACATTCGGAATTCGTCGACTTCCGCGCGCACGGGAGCATCTGTGCACCTTGAATTCTGTCATATATGGTGGTTCTCAATACTTGTTAAGAAAGATTTGATTTGATTGTGCGCACTTGCTGCTATATCAATTTCGTTTCTTCAGGTCATTCACATGAGGTATGCAGACGTCGGTTGCACGAAAAATAATGATACATTTGTAGCCATTAAAACGTTTGAATATTTAACTTTTTGCTGTTCTTCCGCTTCTGATATGAATAAGTGAAAGACAAAGAAAATACTCAATTGCCTGGCGAAAGAGCAAAAGTTCATAATTGTTATAGACCCTGTGGAGTCTATACAAAAAATTCTTCCACATAGGCCAATTACTGAGAGGGGTGCTTACTCTTGAAAATGAAATTAGATGGGCCAAGCCCTTAGGCCAGGCATTCCAAAATCATAACACGCATGTGTGTGCTGTCGCTAAAAAGAAGAGTGTACAAACATTGTATATATACAGGCACTGTTCTAACGTACGAGGCAGACACTTTGTGGATCAGAAAGAAACTCGAGAAGAACTATACGCAACGTGCAACAGAACGAGGACTGATAGGCCTAACACTGAGAGAATGTCCGCCTCTGTGGTACAGATGGTTACTGTGCTCGGCCGATAAACAGCAGGTCGTGGGCTCGATACTGGCCGCAGCGGTCGCCTTTGAGTGAAGGCTGAATGCGAAAAACCCTGTGCGATGCCAGCGCACGTTGAAGAATACCGTGGGGTCCGAATTTCCGAAGCCCTCCACCACGGTGTGCCTCCTAATCGCACAGTGGTGCAGCCCGGGGATCGTATACACCGGGCCCTTGCCCACCTTGTTTTTTTTTTTCTTTCGCAATGACATACTTGGTACAAAACGGCTCAAACGACCACATCGCCTACTCGGTCCCCACTACAGGTCAACGTTCCCTCCCTCATACTCCGAATATATGGTGGTTTTCGGACGTTAAATCCCACATACCGGTTGATTTGATTGATATGTGGGCTTGAACTTCCAGAAACCACCATATGATTATGAAAGACGCCATAGTGGAGGGCTCCGGAAATTTCGACCACCTGGGCTTATTTAACATATACACCCAAATCTGAGCACACGGGCCTACAGAATTTCCGCCTCTATCGAAAATGCAGCCGCAGCCCCACATATCAATCAATCAATCAATCAATCAATCAATCCCAAAAATATATACTAGCGTTCTTCCACTTCTCTTCCTCAATCTAAACGTAGTAACGCTCTTCCATTCAAACTAAATTCAAGCGTTTCTCTATTTCGCTCTCATCAAAATCATTGGAGTAGTTGCGTGTTTGTTTGCGCTATAAAAGTAACAGATGTGGCGTGATCTGTAAGTTACAACTATATAGGAGTGTCTAGTGCTTGGATAGAAGCTTATCGTATCAAAACTGCCAGTATGACACCTTCCTGTTTCGATCTTTGTCAATTTGTTTATTCCTTTCATGATTTCCCCTGGCTGCTGCCGACGTATGCGGTTCGCATTTCTTCCACTTCGCAAACACTTCATTTTCTGGGTTAGATTTGATGAGGATCCGCGTAGAATGACTCAAGCGAAATTTAAGCACTTGCATATCCAGAAAATGATAGTTTCGCACTCTTCTCGAATATCACAGAGCCGATGTCACGGCGTGCATAGTGAATGTGTTATTTTCAGCGCATCAACGAAACTTTGATAGCGTCGATGTTGAAATGTTATTTATTTGATGTTTTTTCTATTCATCATTAGTACAGAAGGAAGTTACGGAGTTGCGAACCTATAAGGGGTACCTCCTATTACTAATTTGACAATATCGATAAATTAGATATAATGGCACTTAGTAGTAGCTAAATAGAAAAAAATCCCCGCCCAAGAACTCCGTACAAGTGGTTAACCAGCGAAAGCTAAAGATGTGGCACCAGTGTTTATCATGGGTTCAACCAGACACTGCACTGAAGCCTTTCACAATTATTGGTTACATCTTCGCGAGGTCAGACAAACGTTTGGCTTGGGTTTACCACAGTTTATTTCACATGCCTTTCAACGTGCCTCGCATGATCGCGGTCATGGAGGAGTGTAATGAGCGGTTAAATGCGTTTCGCAATGGAATAATCCACTTTTTTTTACCACTTTTTTTCAACGAAGCATGTAAACTCGGTTGTCGTGAAAGACCCGTTTCAGACTGACAATTCCTCGTTTGTCACCCACTTTCTTCAAACGAATCGTTCGATAGGGTTATCGGTCGATGTCGAGGGCCTATTTTATTCTATCCCGCACGTTGAATTGTTTTCTCGCGTGCATAAAGGAGAGTGGCATTGTTGCCGCCCGGAATGCAGCGGGCATGAAAACAGAATCGTTTACGTCACTTAAGGTTTATGGTCAAGTAGCCTTCAT